AAAGTAGATATTGAACTTTGGAAATATTTCTTGTTGCTAGGTTTGTGAAGTTATTGGACATCCGGTACCAGAGGGTTTCACGTATGAAAACATCAAATTCCACTGCAAACAACACTATCAAGCGAAGCAAGCCCTGGAGAGTTGGTAAGTTGTCGTTAGATAATTGACTTACAAAACAATCAAGTCTTTGATGAGTTCGTGTTTAGGTTGCGAGATCACAAAATGGGAATGTGGCAATCAAAACCTGAAGAGGTGTCTATGTTCACAGTGTGAATTTACGGAATTATCGACGAAAATTCAAGGATTCTAGATAAAAGTCATTCATCAGTCAAATGATTTGCTGTGGTTTCAGTTCTTCATTTGCTTTTACTCTCTTTACTGGATCTCTTTCACTCCCGAATGTTCTTGAGAGCATCTATACTGTCCTATGGTTACAACTCAACGAATTTGTTATATGTATTGTGCAGACTTGTTGTTGTTATAAGAATGCTTTTTAAAGCGATGAAATTTTTTTGAAAGGAATGCTGATTGTTTGAACGCGTTGACTCGCTTTTTTTTCTATTCGCTTCTTATAGCAAACTGTATAATCAACATTTTTCGTATTTAAAGGAATTTTCATAAGCTATATGCCTTGAAGTAAATGACGAGTCACTCTGATTCTGCTGAAGAAGATGCTGTCGCTTCACCCGCAGATGAGCTCAGCAGCTCTAATCAGGGCGTTGAGCCAGTATCTCGCCGCCGACTTGCGTTTCGGCCTCCTCTAGATCCACAACCACAGAGTGCGATTGCACGCCTTGACGCCACCGCTGGCGAATGCCCGGCTATTGCTGGAGTATGTTTGCACGTTATACGCAACATTAAGATGAGAAGAGTTGAATGGTGGTTGATCAAGACTTTGAAACAAGCTTTATTAAAAAAACTGCAACATTTTGTGCAGCTCTGAATTGAGATTCAGACCAAAGCTGTACACGTTATTGAATTGGTTGAAAAAGTTTTTTCACATTGTGAAGTGTAATGTATTATGTAGTCTACAAAGCGATAAACCCGAATCGATGGGCTT